ACACCTTAACATGTTACAAGCAGTATCAATGGTGAAACCTGAATGGATTCAGGAGGTACTACACTCATATGCCACTGATCCCAGAGCCCAACAACTCCTCAAGCAGCTGGCCATCACTAGTCCAGACTCTGCAGGTTGCAGTTTGGACAGTGGGCTACTTAGATACAAAACTAAGCTGTGGATAGGTCAAAATTCAGCACTTCAAACCAAACTGATCTCATCATTCCATTCCAGTGCCATTGGGGGACATTCTAGTACAGCAGGCACCTACCACAGACTCAAGAACCATTTTGCTTGGAAGGGTACGAAGCAAGCAGTGGAGGATAATGCCAAACAATGTGCCATTTGCCAATAGGCCAAGCACACCACTTCTCATCCTGCAGGCCTCCTTCAACCACTTCCTATCCCAGAGGGTGTGTGGAGAGACATATCAATGGATTTTGTGTTGGGCTTACCTAAATCTCAGGGTTACAGTGTTATCTTAGTGGTTGTGAACAGGTTGACCAAATTTGCTCATTTTGTGGCAGTCAAGCATCCTTACACAGCCAGTTCAATTGCTGAGCTATTCCTGGATAACATTGCCAAGTTACATGGCTTGCCTCAGTCTACTGTGACTTACAGAGACACCATATTTGTTAGCACTTTTTGGAGAGAGCTCTTCAAACTCTACAAAGTCAATCTTGCTATGAGTACAGCCTACCACCCACAATCTGTGAACAAACTGAGAGAGTTAACCAATGTTTGGAAATGTACTTGCGCTGTGTAGTACAAGATGCACCAAGAACTTGGAAAGCGTGGCTCTCTTTGGCAGAACTTTGGTACAACTCAGGCCCTGTTTGGTTCCGCTAAAACGCGCATTGCGATGGGGAGAAGCGGGATAATCCTCGCCAAACGGGTCGCGACGGCGGGGGCAACGCGAACGCGCGTCTGCGATGGCTGCGATGGGGAGTCGCCTGCAGGTGTTGGCCGAAACGCGGCTGGGAGTCCGTGATTTGGAAAACGCGAGCGTTTTCCCGGCCCCGTGCGCAGGCTAGCTCGCCCCTCCTCCCGTGCGCAAGCGAGCTCGGCCCCTCCTCCCCTGTGAGGCGCGCCTCCCCCTCCGGCTCCCTCCCTCCGCCGGCCTGTGTGCAGGTGAGCTCGCCCCCTCCCATGCGGGCGCCACCACCTCCTCCCGTGTGGGCGCCGCCCCATGTGCAGGTGACCTCACCCCCTCCTCCGCCGGCTCCCTCCCTCCACCGGCCGCCGGATCTCCACCTCTCGGCCGGCTCCCTCCCTCCGCCGGATCTCCGAGCTCCTGCATCGGTTTTGAAGGACCAGGATGTAAATATAAACTGTTATCTAGGTCCAGTTGCAAGGCTATAGACTCACAGGAACAGTGCTACGCAGTTTGAAAAAAGTCTAGGGGTCCCAGTGCAAAATGTCCTACCCGAAATAATCGGGACAGCCAAAAGCCCAGCTTAGATTCTACGTATCGTGGCTTATTAGATAAACCTGCTCAGCTTATAAGCGAGACTAAGATAAGCTGAACCAAACAAGGCCTCAACCTACCATACCTCCAACTGCTCACCATTCAAGGCTTTATATGGTTATGAACCAAATCTAGGCGCCACACCTACTGTTCCACCAGATGCCCCTCCTACTATTGCTGAAGTAGCACAGAACAGAGAGCTACACATACAGTCACTGAAGCAACGTCTGGCCAATGCTCAGAACCGCATGAAGCTCATGGCTGACAGGAAGAGAACAGATTTACAGTTCCAAGTCGGTGACAAAGTTCTGCTTAAACTGCAACTCTATACACAGTCATCAGTTGCTAATAGGCCTTATCCTAAGCTGTCCTACAAGTACTATGGCCGTTATCAGATTCTGGAATGTGTGGTGCAAAGTCACCTACCGGCTGGACTTGCCACCGGGCAGCCAAATTCACCCAGTTTTTCATATCTCACAGTTAAAACCCTTTGTTGCAGACTACTCTCCAGTCTTTTCAGATCTTCCAGTCACCACCGATATAGAAGAAGCTGCTGCTGTTCCAGAGCGCATCCTCCAGCTTCAGTTGGTGAAGAAGGGCAATGGCGCGGTGCCTCAGGTGCTGATCAAGTGGACCACACTCCCTGAAGGCTCAGCCACCTAGGAAGACTACAACATCTTGAAGCAGCGCTTTCCTGATGCACCTGCTTGGGGTCAAGCAGCCTCTTCAGCGGGGGGAACTGTCACGCCGGTCGCCACCATGCAGTGAAGAAGGCGTCATATCCAGAATACGTATTCATGTTATAGTTTAAGTTGTAATGCAAGTCTATGACGGGCAGGCCCCGCTAGCCAGGGAAGGCTATGTAATAAGCGAACTCCTGTACGGTTGGGAACTATCCTAATTCAGACAATAGAACTCGGCCCTCTGCTGTTCTCCGATCCATGATCTCACTGTTCCCTCACGTCGACGGCCATCTAAGGATGGCAGCGGGGCGGGTTTGGACCCGAAACCCGCGGGTTTGAGACCCGACGAGGGCGGGGACGGGTCTGTTTCTCCCCCCGCGGGTCTCGGGTTCGGGGACCTGAACCAGGTCGGGTGCGGGGGCGGGTTTTCAGATTTCCCCACGGGTGCCCACGGGGCCTCGAAAATTACTGGCACATATGTAGAATTTGGCCCACCAGGCCGCCTAGCGCCTTCCCCGACCCCCTCCCACCTAGCGGCCCAACCGGCGCTCTGCAGTCGCCTATCGCCTGTTGGCAGTGCGCTCCTTAACCCTAGCCGCAATTTGCAGTGACGCCATTTCCGAGTCCACCCTTCGGTCCGAGTCCGGCAGTGACGCTGTCTCCAAGTCCGCTCTCCGCTCTTCGATCCGAGTCCGGCAGTGACGCCGAGCGCATACGAAGGGGAAGAGCGCATGCGAAGGGGAAGCCAATCAAATGCAATGGTGGGCGGAGACAAGCTAATCTCTTTCGCGTGTGTGTGTGTTTGACGCTAGCTGCCATTTGAATCTAATAGTGTATCCGTGCAAATTGAGGCTACCATGTGAGTCCATTCGTCCAAATCCATCTCAATCATGGCTGCAATTGTTTCTTTTTTCTTGTTGTTCGTAGGAATCATTGAAGATGGGAAGGTTGCCACATCATATCTATCTCGTTCATGATTCTTTTTGTCCCCATTATTATTTCTTTTAATTGCTTGGAGGCTCTGAATCTGGTCCGGTGTGGAGGACTGCCGATTCCAAGGCAGGGGCGTGGCCTAAGTCGCAAGGAGGAAGGCGCTCGCGGGTTCCCGTCAGGTTTCGGGTGCCCGCCAGGTTCAGGGCTGGGGCTAATTTTTCACCCGTAAGTCATTTCAGGTTCGGGGCAGGTTTTAGACTCGGGTTTCGGGTGCGGGTCCGCGAATGCTCCACCTGGCCCCGACCCGCCCCGTTGCCATCCTTACGGCCATCACCAGCGGCCAAGGGTGTAACATGGGGGGAGTTTGTTCTTCACATGGAGGTCCATATGGGTGGCCAGCAGCTGTGGGGCTATCTCACGGGTGACCGGAAAGTTCCGCTATGTCCAACTCTCCTCCCCCACCCCAACACCCCCATGCGCGAAGCGCCTCACCCACCACCACCACCCTCGTATCCCCTCGAACATGACGATGCCATCAAGACTGCCCTATTCGAGGCATTTGAGGTTGAGATGGAAGCCTATCAGTCTGATCTCTTGTTGTCTATGAGACTTGGCTACGTGAGGAGGCCTATGCTAAGGCCACTTGTACTCTGATGCCACTTGGGCTAGTGATTACTCTGATCGTCGCTCTCTCTTGGCTTATTACATCTTTCTTGGCTCCTTGATTGCCTGGAAGACCAAAAGGCAGACTGCAGTTTCTCCATTCAAGTGTTGAGGCTGAGTTGCAAGCTATGGCAACTGTGTGTGTCGAGGTGACTTGGCTATGATGGCTGCTTGACGATTTTGATGTACTGATTTCCTTTGACTCTCCTCTGATAGTGCAATCAGTATTGCCAGGGATCCTATGCAGCATGAACCACCAAACACATTGGAGTCGATCTTCGTATATGAGATCGCAAGTGCATGATCAAGTTGTGACTCCAACATGTGGCTTCTGAGGTTCAGTTAGCAGATGTTTTTCACAAAGGCACATACTAACACGTAATATAGCTATTTGCTCTCGAAACTCAATGTTGTTGATCCACCATGAGTTTGCGGGGGGGGAGATGTATATAGTATATACTGCGTATGTATTTAGTCACTTGTGTAGGGTCCTATCTGCAGTTTGCACAACTTCATATCCAGCCCTTTGGCCATGCCAATACATCTGAGTTGCATTTCTAACAACTCCCACCCTCTCTTTTTTGTGCATAGTTTTGGGCAGTTTTTCTATACAATTTAAAATATAAAATTAGATCACTAGGGGTTTCCCCTCCTGTGTTGTAAAAAAAAGGTTGATATTTGACTAAAATTATTTCAGAATACAGTACGAACACACATTGTTGTTTGCTTGCTGAGAATTATTTTCCCATCCTTGTTTTCTTTTGCAGAAAGAAAGTAGTGCTTTAGATTCTCCATCATAAGGGATCAAGATTAAGTGAGTTTAGCCCTACATTAGATTCTAGAGAAACAAACACCTCTAATAGTAAAATGATGATAATTAGGATTCCTTTATGTGGATGTGGACAAAGATGGTTTATCTAGATAATAAGATAAATTTTGTGATATTTGGTTACGGAATTTATTTTATTGAATATATTAATCTGTAGCATGACTTGGATATTATGCCTATATGAGGCTATGTATGGAACAAATCTGAGTAGTTACACTTTCATTACAAAGGCGGCAGGGTAAAAAAATTACCTTACAGATTTTAGGACTTGCTTTGAAATGTTAAAACTGAAACTGTTGAACTAGACAATTAATTGGTCCCTACAACTATGGAAACAGCATGCAGAAGTTACTGATTATTTGAAAATGCATCTCAGGAAACATTTTTGTACTTTATATAGGAGAACCAAGATACAGAGCATTACCAGTTTTACAAGAACAAAATGTCCAAGACAAATACTTTGAGAGCTTTAGCTTATCCTCAATTAATTGGTACCTACAAAACATACTCAGGATCATGCAGGATGAACAAACATTCCAACAGGAGCTAACACTCACCATACTGGATAATTTGTAAAAGCATGCATTTCATAATTATTTTTCTTCAAACAGCAAAGAATATCTTCGACGCCATCAATGTATTCATATGCTCTCACCATGCACTCTTTTAGACCTGCAAGGCATTAAAATGGATTACAACAACCAACTTCTTTTAGGTCAGTAAAATAAGAACAAAAAACATGTTTTTAGGAAAAATCTAGTTCAAGCAGTCTACTGGAAGGGGACACCACAGTGCCATTTCTGATAGAACAAAGCCTAACAGGCTATTGTGATTGATTATTGAATAACAGAGGAGGTTTACATATATAGAGAGGAGTAGAGCCCAAAGGGCCAGCCAGCCTGGAAGAGGTGGCACATATCTAGAGGAGATTAATGCATACATGGGAGAGCCCAAAGGGCTTAAGCCAGCCAGAAGATGGCGGCACAAGAACAGAGGAAGTAAATACTCTAACACCCCCCCGCAGTCGGAGCGTCGTTAGCACGAACGTTCAGACTGGAGCGAAACTCCATGAAGACAGTCGAAGGGAGTCCCTTGGTGAAGACATCAGCGAACTGCGACGTGGTGGGGACGTGGAGAACACGGACAGCCCCAATAGCGACCCGTTCGCGGACGAAGTGGAGGTCAATTTCCACGTGCTTGGTGCGCTGGTGCTGGATGGGGTTGGTGGAGAGGTAGACGGCGCTGACGTTGTCGCAATAGACGAGGCAGGCGGACTGCAGCGGCTGGTGCAGTTCCTGCAGGAGTTGGCGAAGCCAGGTTGCCTCAGCAACGCCGTTGGCAACAGCCCGGTATTCGGCCTCGGCGCTGGACCGAGAGACGGTGGGCTGGCGCTTGGAGGACCAAGAGACGAGGCTGTTGCCGAGGAAGACCGTGATACCGGAGGTGGAGCGACGGGTGTCGGGGCAACCAGCCCGGTCGGCGTCGGTGTAGACGGTGAGTGAGTTGAGTAGACTGGGAATGACAAGGCCGTGGTGATGGTGCCTTGTAGGTAGCGGAGAATGCGCTTGGCGAGAACTGTGGGTCTCCCGGGGATCATGCATGTGAAGGCAAACTTGTCTTTGAACTGCGTAGGTGATGTCAGGCCTGGTGAATGTGAGGTACTGAAGAGCACCTACAAGGCTGCGGTAAGCGGTAGGATCAGCCACAGAGGGTCCATCATCAGCAGCAATCTTGGCACAAGTGTCAACCGGTGTTGTACATGGTTTGCAATCACTCATGCCATGGCGAGCAAGAATGTCCAGGGTGTACTGCCGCTGGGACAGGAAGAGGGAGTCACTGCGATGTTTGAACAACCACACCAAGGAAGTGATGTAGGGGACCGAGATCCTTCATGGCGAACTCATTCTTTAGGGCAGCAATAACTTGGTGAAGGAGCTGCTGAGAGGAGGCGGTGAGCACAATGTCGTCCACATAGAGGAGCAAGTAAGCAGTCTCGGTGCCATGGTGATATATGAATAGAGAGGTGTCCGACTTAGCTTCAAAGGAAACCCAAAGATGTAAGGTGAGAGGCAAACCGGTGTGCTGCGCGAGGTGCCTCGCTTTAGACCGTAGAGAGACTTATTGAGCCGACACACATGTCCGTCCAGAAGCAGGATCAACAAACCCGGTGGGTTGGGAGCAGTACACCGTTTCGGACAGAATCCCGTGGAGGAAGGCGTTCTTCACATCAAGTTGATGAATAGGCCAGTCCCGGGAGTGAGCCAAGGTGAGGACAAGTCTGCGAGCGATGGCGGCTTGACGACCGGGCTGAATGTCTCATCATAGTCAACTCCAGGTCGCTGTGTAAATCCGAGAAGGACCCAGCGAAGCTTTGTATCTGTCCAGAGAGCCATCGGCGTGGAACTTATGCTTGAATATCCATTTCCCAATGACCACATTTGCTTGAGGAGGCCGAGGAATGAGATCCCAAGTGTGGTTGTCCGTCAGAGCAGCAAACTCATCTTCCATGGCCTGACGCCAGTGGGGATCAGCAAGGGCATCCCGGCAGGATCGCGGCAGCGGTGACAATGCCGCGGCGTGGAGAGCAAGTCGGGGCTGTCGATAGCCGATCTTCCCACGGGTTGCCATGCCATGAGTGTTGGCAACCGGCGGGATGGGAACCGCGCCCATGGGAAGAGGAGGATCCTGCTTGACGTAGCGCGGTGGGGAGGGAATCAGGCCGGAGCGTCGGGGAGGAGGCCGTGGTGGGATGCCGGTGACGAGTCAGCGGCCGGCGACGAGGTGGCAGTCGGTGACGGACCGGCGGTCGAAGCACGTCGCGCATAGACATGCACGACGGGCGGCTTGGTGAAGGTTGAGTAGGGGCGGTCAGACGTCTGGGCCGGGAAGCAACAGACAGAGGCGCCGGAGGAGGGGTGCTGGAAGCCGAGGGGCCAGAAGGTGGCAACCTTGGAGGTGCCGAGGCTCTGGCGCCGTGGCGGCAGGGTGGAGGGCCCAATGAGGCCCCTTGATTTGATTTGGGGGGGAGCAGCGAGTGGTCTTAGGCCGCCCCTGCAGGTACCTGCAGGAAAGAACGAAATTGGCAGCGGTGCGTCGTCAGTTAGAAAGTCGAGCTCAGCAGGAGGAGGGTGAGCTCGATGAGTGGAGAAGGGAAACGTTGTCTCGTCGAAGACAACGTGCCGAGAAATAATGACCCGATTCGAGGCGATGTCGAGGCATTTGTAGCCTTTGTGATCGGGAGAGTACCCAAGAAAAGCGCACAGGGAGGAGCGGGGGGCAAGTTTGTGAGGGGTGGTGGCGGTGAGGTTGGGGTAACACGTGCAGCCGAAAGCCCGGAGATCATGATAGGAGGGTTGGGAGCCATGAAGGGCAAAGAAGGGAGTGCTCATGTTGAGGGTCTTGGTGGGGAGGCGGTTCAGCAGGTGGGTGGCTGTAGCAAGCGCATCAGCCCAATAGGAAGGGGGCATGGAAGCTTGGAACAGCAGGGTGCGAATGACATTGTTGGTGGTGCGGATAGTGCGTTCAGCCTTGCCGTTTTGTTGGGAGGTATAGGGGCAGGACATGCGAAGGGTGACCCCTTTGGCAAGAAAGAAAGCACGAGAAGCGGAGTTGTCAAACTCCCGCCCATTGTCACATTGGACAGACTTGATGGTACAGCCGAATTGGGTGTGTACATAATTGAAGAAATTGGAGAGGGTAGGGAAAGTATCAGACTTTAGGCGAAGAGGAAAAGTCCAAAGAAAATGAGAGCAGTCATCCAGTATAACAAGATAATACTTAAAACCAGATATGCTCATAATAGGGGATGTCCATAGATCACAATGGATAACATCGAAATTTTTTGATGCACGGGACAAGGAATTAGAAAAAGGTAAACGGACATGACGCCCGAGTTGACAAGCATGACAAAGGGAGTCGTCCTCGGTCTTGCTGCAGGCGATGGAAGAGGACTGAACAAGGCTCTGAAGCACAGCCTTACCGGGGTGACCAAGCCGTCGATGCCAAGTAGTCGATGATGGTGTTGCCACAAGAGTGCAGGGACTGATAGGAGAAGACGGCAGCTGGAGGGTGTAGAGGGGCCCGGAGCTGTCACATCGAAGGAGAATGTTCCTGGTATGGAGATCCTTCACAGAAATACCAGAAGGGTCAAATTCAACTGAAACACGATTATCGGGCCAGAACTCGACGAAATGACATGTGAGGTTCTCAATGGTTGCAGGGCGATAAGAACGTTATTCGCATTTAAAAGGACCAGAATAGTAGAGTAGCGGTGCCAACAATCGGGAGAGTGGCACCGCTGCCCACGATGATGGAGGGGGGAAAGAAGAGGATGGTGACATGGTGACCATACCGTGGTTGGAGGCGATGTGCGAGGTGGCACCGAGTCGACCACCCGCCGAGGTGCTCGGTGGAGGTTGAGAGGAGACGGCATCTTGAAAGCGCCGGCGAGGGATTGAGTATCCCATGGCGATGGCGACCACATAGAAGGGGCGCCTATGGCGCTGGAGACCGGAGACCGGTAGAGCGGGCGCTGGCGGGGCGCCGGTGCAGAGCTAGGACCGCCATCGTGGCTCTTGTGGCGCCATGGTCGGCCAAAGATGTCTTGTCAGGCGCCGACGTGGGGTGGAGGGCCACGGAACCACCGGATTGGAGCCAGCCACACATGTGAATGGACCCAGTCAAGGATTGAAGATGGAGGCCATTGGGACCCTCCGGGGGCCATCGGGACCACCACATCCACCGTGACCACCTCGTCATGGCCTCCACGGCCCGGCGGCGATCATGGTTGCCTCGAGACGAGGCCCCTTGGCCGGCGAGGAGGGCGCGGGGAGCAGTCCCGGAAGTGGCGCGAGGTGAGCGGCTTGTCGGTCGAGGAAGTGACGAGGGTCGACGGTGGTGCCGGGAGTTGCCATGTTGAGTTCAAGAAGGCGCAGATCAGCCCGCACGTCGACGAATGACTGAAACGGCTTCTGGCGGGGGATGAGCTGGGCCATGAACTGAAAGCGTTCATTGAGGCCGCCAAGGATGTTCAGCACCAAGGTACGGTCATTGACGGGCTCGCCAAGATCAGCGAGGGCATCGGCCATACCCTTCATCTTGCGGCAAAAGTCGTCGATGGAGAGGGCGCCTTGGGCGAGGGTGCGGAACTCGGCGTCAGCAAAGATGGCGCGGATTCGCGGTTGTTCGAGAACCGCCGCTCGATTCCAAGCCAGCAGCCGAGCCATGACCCCGTCAAGCGCTGTGGATGACGCCCAAAGCAGGTCGGGGAGATGGTGTTGAAGAGCCGTGACACGACCACGTCGTCCATGCGTGGCTGCCGGATCGATGTGGCGAGGAACGTCGGCGAGGACATGATCTTTTAGGGCAAAGCGGCGAGGATGAGGAGGACATAGCCGCGCCACTTGGAGTAGTTGGAGGACTGCAGGTCCAGAACGATTGGAATCAAGTTCTTGATGTTTTGGACTGCAGCGGCTTGGCTGTGTAGGCGGGCGATGGCCTCTGCTTCAGAGTTGACGGAAAAGTCGTCGCCATTCACGGTGGAGTCGTCCCGGAGGGAGTTGCCACGAGGCGCCGCGGCGGCGGCGGCTCTTTGCTCCAGGCGTGCTGGCTTGCGCGCCTCGATCGAGGGCGGCGGCGGCAGCACGGACGCGGTCCTGGGCGGCGGCGGCAGACTTGAGGAGTGTGGCCTCCTCCTCGAGCTGCTTGCTGCGCGCGCTGTTGATGGAGCGCAAGGAGATGGCTTCGTCTTCCAGGGACTTGGCGGCGGCCAGAGCCTCATCGCGGAGCTTAGCCGCGGAGGCGGCCGCCATCATGCGGCCAAGTGAGGGTCGCCCGGCCATGGGGCGGGCGGCGCCAGGCCGTCCGAGGCGGTCTTGCGCGACACACGAAGGGGTCGACGGGGAGAGGAGACAGGCAGGCGCCGAGGGGAGAGTCGCGGAAGAGGTGGGGTGGGGATCGAATTTAGCGTGATACCATGATAGAACAAAGCCTAACAGGCTATTGTGATTGATTATTGAATAACAGAGGAGGTTTACATATATAGAGAGGAGTAGAGCCCAAAGGGCCAGCCAGCCTGGAAGAGGTGGCACATATCTAGAGGAGATTAATGCATACATGGGAGAGCCCAAAGGGCTTAAGCCAGCCAGAAGATGGCGGCACAAGAACAGAGGAAGTAAATACTCTAACAATTTCTACTCTGACCTTCTCACCTTCCAAATCAAATGATCTGCCATCATTGAAGAACTTTTTGGCCAGCTCATTCTGAAAGCAACAAATACAATGACAAAAACATGATCTCCCTGTTTTATGGTGTCCGAAAATTTGTATGTAGCACACTTTTGCATATCTTTTGGTCACGATTTGAGGTACACAGAGAGCACAGAAGGTTAAAATGTTGAAAACAAAAGATATTCTGTTGTTTCCATTATCTTTTTTAAATTATTGTGACACTGCAGGTGTAAAGAAAACAGATAAGCAGTTTCACTGTTACAATGTAAAAATGATATTTTCACTCTAACTGAAATAAATAGAGTATAAAAGTTCTTGAGAAAAACCATACTAATATTTGGCATCTGAATGCTACAGCTCAAATCATCAGTTCAGCCAATAATCCTAAATCCACATCACATACCACAACCCTCTATCAAAATTGTCGATGCAAAAAGCATTTTAATTTTTTTCTCCTTTCCTAATGTACATAGTTTATTTATCATTAGTGAAGTAGTTTGGATCTGTAAACTTTACCTTTCTTTACGTAAACTCTGCGAAAGGGCCTCTAGCTGAGTTGGTTAGATGGCTTGAGTAGCACTCCTCAGGTCCTAAGTTTGACTCCCCGTGGGAGCAAATTTCGGGTTAGAAAAATCCCATCGTTTGTCCCATGCCAAAGCACAGGTCTGAGGCCTAGCCCCGGTGGTCGTTCTCACATGGGCTACGGTGCCGCTATGTATGGGTGGGGCAGGGGTTCGGAGGTTTTCTTGACCTACGTGAGAAGGTCTTCTTCTTAATGCAATGCCCAGGGGCGGGCTGTCTTACCCATCGCAGGTTGAGTTTTTTTCTTTACTATGATCTGAATTATTCTTTACAATGTTCTAAATAATGGATCTCTGGATGTAGGAAGCAAGAACAGTGAGTATGAAAACATAAGGCATTTCAGGCAGGATTAGTCCAGCACGTATTCCTATGAACAAAGAAAAAAATGACTCGCATGACCGAGTTAAAACCAGATAATGCAAGATCAAATGAACATCAAGCATACACCACTAGCACACATACCACACATACAAATACTGCACATCATATATCTGAGGAATAAGTCAAGCATCCAGAACTTACCTCATCGATCAGTCCTTTCTCAAATTCTGACCAAGCCGTTGGATGCTTGCTTTCTAGTAGTTCCTTCATGGACATTCTGCAAAAAAACAGAGATAGACAGCTGAGAATGTAATGCAATAATCACAAACATCAGCACAGATGCACTGGACAAGTGTCTGAACTACAGTTTACTGGCGTAACAAAGCAAACGGACGGGTACAGAACAAAAGGTAACAAAATGGTTGGTAACACCTAATCACATTTCAGCCATGCTATTTCATCAATAAATTTACAGAATATCATATGGATCAACCAGTTCATGTTAGATTTTGTAACATTACACCAAACCAATCCTTTCAGCTAGCACTAACACAGTTCGCAAATTCTCCACCAACAAATCGTTCACGAATACAATCCACCACAACACCACAGACAAAAACACTACCTATAACACCTTACAATATACTACTCTGTTATAGAACTTAACATGCATTCCGTCGAACACCTGAGCGGCACACCATAACCCACCCCACCCGACAGAGACAGCCCAAACTAAGTAAACTAGGAGAGCCGGGGGCATGTACGGAACTGAAAGAAGGCGGGGATGTGGTGGTAGAACGGGTCCCGGACGAGGGTGTCCATGACGTCAAACAGCAGCACGGGCAGCTTCCTCGGCGCGGCTGCCGCCTCTGACCCGGCGGCCACGGAAGCGGCGGTGGAGGACGACAACATGGAGGGCGCAGGCGGCCGCTGCGAGGAGCAGGCGGACTTAGCGAGGAAGGCGAGGGAGGGCGCGCGAGGGAGCAGCGAGACCATGGATGAAGGCGACAGAGAAAGGAGCAGTAGAACCGAGAAAAATATCCGATCCGACGGCGCTGCAAAGGACATGTGCTCGCGTGAAAATTGAGAAAATTCGAAGTTCGTCGTCTTGGTCCGAACAAGTGAATAGCCTCCGATTCGGCTCAACACCACTATAAAACAAAATGTTCTTTCCATTTTATTTCGTTTAAACCATCTCTGTTACTTACCTCCGTTTTTTAATTGTCACCGAATTTTTTTTTTTGTAGCAATTTTGACCCTACGTTTTTTCTGCAAAAGATTTTTAGATACATCAAGTTTTCACATATATAATTCTTTATTGAACATACTTCATTAGTGTTATATACATTGAAATATCTAAGATTTTTTTAGAAGAAAAAATAGATGGTCAAATTTGCTACAGTAAAAAAGTTGCTGACAAGTAAACACAAACGGAGGGAAGTATAAAAAATTAGACTTGCTTTGACATTTTTGTCCTTAGACTCGATCGATATTGGTAAATAAGTGAATAACCTCCGATTCGCTTCAACACCACTATAAAACAAATGTTCTTTTCATTTTATTCCCACAATTAGTCACTTCATCGTCAGAGTAACAGTAGCTTTCGGGGAACGCCCATCCCATCTTCCGCTAAGCTATTGACTTCACCCAAGCTTGACGTGGGCCATCACCAAGTCTATAGCACCTGTAAAAACTAAACGGCAGTACCGTGAGTATGATTGTACTCATAGTATTTATTTTAACATAAATATTTGGTGGATACAAGAGAAAGATTAATAGGTATTTGTGAAGTTTGCAAAAGACACGGCGTGAGTTAAAAATAAGGCATGTTATGCTTTACTGCTTATTCATTTAAGCTCATATATTAAATAGATAATTAATCATATGAATAACTCAAATAGAGTTAAACCTTGCTCTTACTATACCAGATTTAGAAGAGAGAACATCTAAAACGATCAAGTCACATGGATTGGATGCCCACACTTCTTCAAACCGACGTGCCATGGTGAAAAGATCAACACATACCCACTCTACACCGACTAGGGACCCACCCCACTAGAGGGGATGGGCCCACATGATAGAGAGGGGGTCGCCCAACCCTCTATTGTCAACCCTCCACCGCCTTGGTGCATGCACTCATGTAAACAAGCACAAGTGTGGAGCATCTCAACCCTTCATTTCAAGGCAGTTGATCAAGTGGCTATGGTCTGAAACACATGGATCCATGGGTCCATCTCCATCCATCTATAAATAGAGCCTAAAACCCCCCCTCTTCATTCATGCCTTCAAGCTCCAAGTGAAGAGTAGCATAGATCCATTCTATCTTAGTAGTGTGGGAGTTAGAGTTGAGTAATGAACTTTGCTTGGGTTTCTGAATCTGGTCTTCTAAAGAGTCTGGTATAGCTCTTGTAATTTTCCTTTTTAGTAAAAGACTTTTAATTTATTCAATTCAATATACTTATATTCTTTCTCTACTTTACATAGCATTTACTTTGTGCAACTTTATACTTGTTATATTGTTGTTGTGGCCTAACTTAGCATATAATTGCTACATATTAGATTGTGATCCAAGCGCACACCTATATTACGATCATTGTCTTTCATTAGGTGCTCTAATTGTCCTGTGTGTACACAATTAGAATAGTGAGAGAAGGTGTAAGCGTGGTGCTTATACATTATCTTGCCTTTGGTTACCATTAGTCGCATGAATTGTTTATGGTAGCTAGCAAATGGTGATAGCCTTGTCTAGCTTTTTGTACTCCACCATGTGTTTATAGGCAAATTCTTAAAAGGTAAGGCCCCCGGAAAAAGTTAGTTGCTTCGGATAGGAGTTACATCTCCTATTGTCTCACCTACCGTTGAGCATACTTGTTGTGTGGACTCAATCTATGTGTTGCAATTGTGTGATTAAGATAGAACCACAGAAGTAGAGTTAGAACATAGGAATCATTTTCTCTCTTATCCTCCCACCTAGCTATATCTTGCTAATTATCATTTATTATCATTCCTGACTACCGCTTTCTCTTGGGATTAAATAAATAACAATACCTTGAAATGCTCCTTGGTGAAATGCTACAACGGTATTCTGTGTGCTTGTGGAATATTCTACTTGAGCATAAGAAATACCAACAACCTCCGACAAGGGTGATGGATCCCAAGACTGGGCTCTTGTCCAAGCAATAAGAGTACCAAACGTTCATCTCCAGCCAGGGTCGCATCTTTGAGCACACCAAAGTATTTGACCAAGGTTTACTCACAAAAATAGGTATGGATGTGGAATTTGATTTTGTCTTTATCGCTGTTGGGTGGCAATGTTTTCTAGCATCTTGCTAATGATCTAGGAATTAGAGTTCTCATGCTTGAATTTCTTAGCACTTTACAAACCTCTCATGATGAAGTCTATTTCCGCATGTTCAATCAGGAGTATAAAATTACATGGAACCAATTTAGTCATGCCCTTGATTTTGCTGCAAATTGTTCTCTAGATCTAGAACTTGCCACCTGATGGTTCAATATATTAGAGTTTTAATTTAGGAAGCCATCACCGGTCTTCGTGAATGTGAATATCCCAGAACTAATGAGATCCAAAATCCTACCTTGCGTTTCCTTCATCGATGGATAGGAGTAACTCTTTTTCTTTGTGATGATGTAAGAATTCTAAGAAATGATGACTTAAGATTGCTTTATGCTATGGTTCATAAAATTCGTGCCTCACCTGTCAAGGCCATGGTGGCTCATTGGCAAGGTGGTGCTGAAAGAATCAGTCCTATTGAGTTTACATCAATAATAACTGGGCTTGCCAACTTTTTTTGCTTGTTTAATCGCTCTGTACAATATATATCCACATCGTCGTGAAGCTTGATTACAAAAGAATACTTTATACAAGCTCATATGCTAAAAGAGGTCCAAATAACTTTGTGATCATAAATTGTCATGACCATGCAGCTAGAGTCCTGCTCCCTTGTGAGAGGCGTACTCCAGCTTTATAAGGTCCGCTAATTAACCTTTGATTTGGACCAAGAAGCTGGACGCAAGAGCTTTGCAGGTACAAGCATAGGGCAACGGTGACACGAAGCATGACATAGGCCACACAATTTGAACAAGGTGGCACATCACAAGATGTTGATGATGATGACAATGAGGAGGAGGAGACATCGAGCACCATGCGGATTTCAAGCTCAAGCGGAAGACGCTAGGCACCACCATCACGTGCCCAAAGTGCACGATTTTCCTTCTCGTCCTCACGAGAGAGAGAGAGTATCAGGGCTTGCGGCAAGACATGAACCATCTCACCAACCAAACGGCGAGATGCGTGTAGAACAAGGGGTCATTCGAGGCGGTGTCGAGTAGAACAATAATCAACTTCTTCTGGCCATCCAACAAGAGAACGTGCATCAATGGATGATGTTTTGGGCGCAACAAGGAGTCTACCTATCACCACCCGGGCTGTGAGAAAGAGACAAGCTTGGGGGAGGTTCCCTCTCCCGTCAAGGTAAGTTTTATTTCTTCTTGCATTTGCTTTAGTTCACTACTATAGATTGATTTATCACTGTTGTCACTTTCACTACCGTAGCGATAGAAGTGACGGTGTTATACTTCCACTGTCGATTGGACCGATAGCGATGCCTCCTAAGGAAGGAAACCCGCAGTTAAAACTTCTACCATCCACGGGTTAACAATAGATGCAACAGTGATATTTTCTCCATCATATGAAAAGCCGAGCCGACTAGGATAGGCATTATGGCCATCGGCCCTACACGACCGTTTGGTGTGCCGGCGGTAGTAAAAATAGTGTGAGTTATTTCTTATTTCCCAACTACCCACAACACAATAGCGATGCCTCCTAAGGAAGGAAACCCGCAGTTAAAACTTCTACCATCCACGGGTTAACAATAGATGCAACAGTGATATTTTCTCCATCATATGAAAAGCCGAGCCGACTAGGATAGGCATTATGGCCATCGGCCCTACACGACCGTTTGGTGTGCCGGCGGTAGTAAAAATAGTGTGAGTTATTTCTTATTTCCCAACTACCCACAACACAGTTGCATCACCATTACTCTATGCCTTGTCATCCCTGATGCGTATTAACTGCTCCTCTCCACTTCTCCATCTTTAAGGTTGGCCTATTTAAGCCGGGGCTGGATGCGCTTCTTGGCAATCCACACACTCCTTCCTCCTTAGATACAGATACAGAACAAAGCTCTTGAGCCAACCATCTATATTTTCTTCATCGCTATGGCGCTCCTTCTCCAACTCCTCCGGCGGTAGTAGCGGTGTTGGGAGAAGGCCTTCAAGATTGAGTACTACCGGCATCTAGGCACAGCCGGGGCTATTCGATCTAGGTACTAGTGGAAGTTTTGCGATTAAGGAGGTTCGCTTATTTGGGCAAGCCAAGGGGTACTGAATGTACTTTGGTATCCCTGGTTTGGCATTGCTGGGCTTCATTAGGGCTGTTGGGATGCCGTTGGTGGCTCCTATGATGGCTCCAAGAACACAGGGCCGCTAGGAAGGTGATATGTCTATATGTACAGTTGCCCTGCACATTTCATATACTGCCGATTCACCATCCCGACGCCCTGGCGATCCTCCTTCCTCTGGAGCAACAGCGACGATGACAACGCTTCTCTTCCACGCCTCCTCTTCTTGCCTCTATCTCGGCCATGAGAGGTGTAGTAGGGAAGGCAAAGCACCTCACTGAGATGCTGGTGGAAGTTTTGTGAGGTGCTACCTCATCCTTAGCTTGCACTGTTTGTCTCTAGACTCGACTATGGGATGTACCTGTACTCGACAGGTCTTTGTTATTGTACACCCAGTAGTCTTCTATAGATCTTTGTTATTGTACATCTGTGGAATGCAATTGAAGTTATTAATGAAAATTTTCCTCATGTGGCTATGATATGATGCTTGTT